AATAAATGAGAATATTTTCCCTATTGGAGGCCCTGAAAAAAAATAAAATATCGACGAAAACTAATAAAGCGTTCGTCGGAGAAAATGTAGAAATAAACTACGGAGAAATTGATTCGACGAAATTAAATACTGAAATCTACACAATCCATTCAGTCCATTTAGCTATCCAAAGCCAACATCAGAATTAATTTGGAGCATCACCTAAGGACAACAAGAAAAATTATTTAAAACTCAAAATTTTTGCAAAAAGGGTATCGATGAATTTAGAAATCATTTGTGTAATTTTTACGTAATTTTTTTAAAAGCAAAACATTTGAAACTTGTAAGAATACATCGAGTGGTATTTCACATTTATTAATTTGAAACTCTCATTAAAACTCTCTTATAGTTAGAAACACCTTTTTACTGTGACCTGTCTATGACGCAAGAAGATCTGAAGTGCTGTATGGGAAAGCAGGTGAAAATGTATGAGTATTGGATATTCTGCACAAGCCGGACTGAAAAAAAATTCCCCCACAAGGTAATTTACAATTCATTTATAATTTATAATTTATGTTTAATTATTTTTTTGCTTTTCGTTGATTTAGACTCACTGCAAGTTTGTCTTCCAATCGAAACTGAGCGCACTATTGCACAACAAGGTGGCGTTCAGATATGGTATAATGGTGAAAAACACCAAAACTCACTATTGGAGGTCCTATTGGACATGTGAACATTACTGAATTTTCACGTATGTAATCAACATTTTATTATTTCTGATAATATTCATAAGTAAAGTTTTCTTTTATTTAGGTTTCGATTGGAAAGAAAGACCTATGGAACCGTATGAACCTAACCCTAGAATACGAACCTATTATTTTTAGGGTTTGGTCGAAATGCGCCTCTTGCCAATCACTTATAAAGAGGAATTGACTTAAATGTATAATTCAGCAACGAGGGTTCGTCACATTATGATAATCATAATGAGAATGATCGTAACTCTTGTATAGAATCGAAACTGAGCGCACTATTGCACAACAAGGTGGCGTTCAGACATGGTATAATGACGCAAAAAAACAAAATTCAGTATTGGAGGTGCTATTGGACATGTGAACATTCACTTAAATTTCACGTATGTAATCAACATTTTAATATTTCTGATAATATTCATAAGTAAAATTTCGTTTTTTTACGTTATGATTGATAAAACAGATTTAAGAAATTCGTTCCGAAAAAAATTTTGAGATATCATGCAAAAATTACATGAAATGAAATCAAATTCATCGATAACTTTGATGAAAGATTTCGTTTTTTCTTGAAAGTCCTTACCTGTGGAAAATTGAATTCAGCTTCATTAAAAAGCTTCAAACTCCTATTGAACAATCACAGAAGATGATGGGATGTCACACCAGCACATGGTTTCAATTGTAGGAAAGGAATTGAATTTATGCATTGTCATCGCAGTAACCTGAAATTCATAACCAAAAAGATTAAAATTCTTTCGGCTTATCAAAATCTTTTGTAATTTTAACTTGCCTATTTTTCACTTGCAGCTTTCAATCTCCAAAGTAATCCA